GGCCGCGTCCAGGTGAGGCCTGCGCAAAGGGTTCAGAGCAGCTTTACCTGCAGCGACCACACTGGACGCCAGCGGCACCCAGTGCCCCGTGGGGGTTATGTGGTCACATGATTCAGACAGAGGTCAGAGGTCGGGGCCCTCACAGCCCTCGACTGTGATTCACACCCAAGCCTTTGCCCCCCAGAGGGACGCAGACACTCGGCCACCAGCAGCAGTCTGACCCGTAGACCGGGGGGACCAAGCTGGCAACATGCTAGGCGAGCTGGCCCGGGGGAGGGGCGCCGGTTCTGGGAAACCGAGGGCCAGACCTCTCAGCTGGCCATCCCCCCTGCCCCCCGCCACCGCAGGAGGCAACAGCCACAGGGCCCTGGCCACCCCGATGGGCAGAGCACCAGAAAAACGCGTTGCAGAAGGTCCTGGCCTTGGGGTCATTGCTGGCGGCTCCTCCTTAATCAGGTGAGCCCCGCTGACCGCTGACCGCACACACGTACCCCTGGGCTCGTAACCCTGGGCTGGGCTCGTACCCCTGGGCTGGGCTCCTGCCCGTACCAGCAACCACCAGAGCAGGACGCCCGCCAGCACCCCCGTGTGGCCATCTCTGCCGACACAGGCAAAGTCCTCCTGCTCCCAAGACTGAAGCAACGCTGTTCCCTCCCTGCCCCAGGCTCTCCTCGCAGCTGCCTGTGGATCCCGCTCCGTCTGCTCCCAGCCCTCCCCGCCCCCAGACACCTGGAAGCCAGGGGAAGCTGTGAAGGCTGAAGGAAGGGAGGGGCTTTTAGGACAGGACAGCCTGGTGACTGCATAGCCAGCAGCCCCTCTCAAGCAGGTCACTCCCAAGGGGGGAGAGGGACAGTTTCCAAAAGGGTCTCCCACAGCTGTCACAGTGACCTCATGCCCTGTGTGGTGGCAGCGACACACCTTTGAGACGAGACGACAGGACAGATGGTGAGCCCAGCCTGCGGCCCTGAACCCACATCTCGCCTGCGAGTCCCAGGGTGCAGAGGAACTGCAGGGGACGCAGGCCACCCTAACTGCCTGGGCCCAGAGGCCCACCGTCCCCCGCAGTGGCTCCCACACACCCCCGAACCTCCACGCACTCGCAGCCAGACCCCGATAGAGACAAGGCGCGAGCGGCAGGAAATAATTCAAGCCGCATCCGAACGGACGCACAAGGCGCAGGGAAGAAGGTGGACCCAGGCCAGCCAGGCCACGGGCAGAGGGAGGAAGGCCCCCAGGACACCACCCTCCTGGGCAGACGGAAGCCGACAACACCATGCTTCTTTCCTGCTTTTAAACCGAGGGGGGAGACGGGTGGCTGGAAATGTGTGACCGTCCTCGCTGGCGGCTCGGTGACAGCAGCAAGAAAGCACTGTGGGGTCTTTGTGAGGAGCCACCACTGCCGAGATGGCACGTCCAGGCTGCGAGATGCTAAAGCAGGACAAGGCCCAGCCGGCAAGAACGTGATCCCCCAGGGCTGGGGGCTGGGGACCCGATGAGTCACCTTCCAAAGCAGCGAGGGAAAGTCTCTGAGGTCAGGAGCCAAAGGGGGGCCTGGGCCTGGGCCAGATGCCTCTGTCCGGGTGTCCGGGCCCCTGGCTCGTGGCCGCAGCTGCCCCCAGGGCCGCTGACTGCACCGGGCTGGGGGGCATGCGGGCCTCGAGGGCCCGATTTCAAAGGCTGGAAACAGGAAAAGGACGAGAAACTCCCAGTGGAATGTGACAGTGGGTTCGCGGCGGAACGTGGAGGAGGAGGTTTTGGTAAAACGCGTATTAACACTCATTCATTTCACCGCTTTCTTTCCCTTTCCTGATGCACTCCCGGGAAACTTTAACTTACACACGTGGCTCGCTTGCTGGCTGGCGTCGCCTGTGACGCAGCCCAGCCGGGGCTGTCTGGGGTCCGGAGGCCTTTAATGTCCCCGCCGCGTGGCCCTGAGGGCCTGAGCTGGACACAGGTGCAGAGAACACCCACAGACCGCAGGCTCCGCAGGCTCGCAGGCGGGGCACACACGGCCCGGCAGCGGGCAGTGGCCGCACGCCTACGCGGGAGCCAGGCGCCCGCCCCCTCCACCCGCGTGCGGTCACGGGCTCCATGCCACATTGCGTGTGGCACAGGAGGGGTCAGCAAGCGCAGGAGCTCAGCGCTCCACGGTCAGCTGCGCCCCGGCCAAGGACACCAAGGATGAGTGGGGACAGGGGCGCTGCTGACATCCGGGCAGAGCAAGGGTCACCATCTGCACCCACAGTGAGAGGCCGCCCCAGCAGGGGGTGACGGGTGAGGCACGGGCCTGGCATTAACGAAGGCCCTGGGGCCCCGGCCTGCCACTTGCTGCTGCACAGCCACCTGCCTGGCGGCCCGACCTCTCTGTGCCTCAGTTTCCTCACCTGCAAAGCAGGGGAAGTCACAACTCTCTGCAAGGCCCGCATGAGAACTAACAAAACACTGCCTGCCATGTACTGAGTGATCATTGTCGCCTGTGTTTAAAACTAAGCCCACGGGGCTGGGGGCCACACCAGCCTCTTTCCCAGCCATAATGACTCCCACAGGCTGCACCTCCATTAGTGACAGTTACACCCGCTGGGAGGAGACACTCACCAACTGTCAGTCCCGCCGAGCCCAGAAGGACCTGCGTCATCCCCAGTGATGGAGACCCAGCCTGGCCCTCCCACCTGGCAGCCCCCCGGCTCTGTCCTGGTCACCATCCTCCTTCCCAATCTGCAGTCGCACCCCCTCCCGGGGGAAGGGCTGTGTCCTGAGCCGGGCAGTGGCTGCACCCAGTGCCTGGCCCGTCTCGAGGTGGCAGGACGCGGGGCCCCCCTGCAGGCTGAGCAGACGTGGGGTCAGAACAAACGGCTCCTTACTGAACGAGGCGGGAAGCCGAGTCCCCACTGAACGAAGCAGGGGAATGCGCTGATTGTCCGGGAAGACGGGGCTGCTCGCCTCTCATGGGGCCCATGGGGCCAGGGACCGGTCTCGAGTGGAAAGGAACGCCTCCGGGGGCGCTGGGAGCAGGGAACGGGAGGGCGGCCCAGGGACCCCCCATCACAGCTGATCTAGATTTGGGGAGCGCGGGTCAGGGAGTGGCTCCTGAGGACAAGGCGATACTGATGGGAGCCCCCCCCGCACAAGGGGACGCTGGTGACGCTGCTGCGGCCACGGCGGGACATGCCGGTGACGCTGGCACGGACGCTGCCTGCGGCGTGCAGGGGGCACGCGTCTGTCTGTAGGAAGCAGGTGCTAGAGCATCTGGGGGTCGGCAAGCATCAAGTCAGAAGAGAAAGCCAATGGACAAAATCGACACCAGAAGTTGCTTTTGGGGAAAGAAATCAATAAAATTGACAAACCTTTAGCTAGAATGACCAAAGAAAAAGGGGAGATGCAAATTGCTAAGGCAAGAACTAGGCGGGCCTTCCCCACCCTCACAGAAGCGAAGAGGCTCCTGGGGGACACGGAGAAGGGTCGTAATCTAGCGCATGAGGTAACTCCCGTCAAATGGACGAATCCAAAACAGAACTACGGAAACTCACTCAGGAAGAAACGGAAAAACTGAATTGACTTAGCACAAGAGACTGATCAGTAATTTTGAAACTGCCCACAAATAAAGCGCAGGCCCAGACGGCTTCACTGGACAGTTCCGCCGGACGTTTGGAGAACGGACGGGCTTGCAGTGAGCGGTAAACAAGCCCCAGAAGAGAATGGACAGTGTAGTAAACATAAACGATATCGTCAAACTTGCTGAGAGACTAAAACCAATTATTCCAGCCACTAGAAAAGAAATAATTATGTGACATTATAGAAGTGCTAATCACCACTACAATGGCAATCGTGTTACATCATATAAATGTATCAAATTAACATGAAAACTTTAAATTTACAGAATGTTATATGACAAATATATTTCAATTTATTTATTTTATTCGATTTATTTCAAATTTTTTAATAAATAAAGAATCGTTATCAATCTTTCACAAACTCTTCAAAAAAAAATAGCAGAGAAGGGAACACTTCTAATGCCCAACTTATTTATATGGCCAGTCTATCCTGACACTAAAACCAACATCATCACAAGAAAAAAAGAAAGATCAGTATCTCTCATGAATATGGACACGAAAATCATTAACATAATATTTATAAACAGAATCTAAGAATTTATGAAAAGGATTATACGTCATGATCCGATGGAATTTACTCCAAGAATGCAAAGTTGGTACAACATACAAAAATCAATGTCTGTAATACAGTATAGTATCGTAATAAAAAAGGAAAAACCACAAGGTCCTCTCAACAGACACAGAAATGCATTTGACAAACTTTAACATCCTTCCATGATAAAAATACTCCACAGACCCAGAGTCCACTACACTCAGTGGCGAAAGACCAAAAGTCTTCTCACCAGGGGCAGATACGAGGTGCAAACCCTCTCGTCACTTCCAGGCGGGGGGCGGGGAAGGGGGTTAGGCAAGAAAAAGAAAAGCTTCCAGGCTGGAAAAGAAGAAGTAAAACTATCTGTTTGCAGATGACGTCGCCTGAGGCACAGAAAATCCTGAGCGTCCACTAAAAAGCTATTAGAACTAATAAATGAGTTCGGCAAAGTTGCAGGATACAAGATCAATGTGCAAAAATCGATTTTATTTCTACAAAGTAGCAATGAACAGTCCAAAATGAAATCAAGAAAACAATTTCATTTACCGTAGCGTCGAAAAGAATAAATACTTTAGACCGAATTGAACAAAAGAACTCCAGAACCTGTTCTCTGATCCTTCCTGCTTCCTCCCACCCTCCCTCGCCGCACGCAGGAAGCGGGGGCAGCCTCTAGGCTACTTCGTGCTCGGGAAGAGCCGGCCACGGTTGGTCAGACTGCAGGAGTCGCGGCCACACTGGCAAAATGAGTCGCATGCATGGTCAAGACGCAAGCGCAGACGGCAGTCACGACACAGCGACAGAGCTGCAATGCAAGGGGGCCAGCGTCCGGCGGGCGGCCTCGTGCGGCAGGTACGTACCCAGATGCGGCCGCCTGGGGGGGACTTTGGTTTCTTCATCCTTATTATCTGCAGCTACATTTAGAAAGAGGGGGAGACAGAGAAGAGAAAAGACAAAACAGTGGTTTAAACGCTGACGGGGAGCGCGCCTCCCAGCCCTTCCTGCGTTTCCTTTTCAAAAAAAAACCTGTTGGGACAGAGAGAGCACACGACTTCGGCTCACGTGCACTAGGAAATCTACTTTCGAAATCTATGTTTCTCCAAACCTACCCTCTTCTAAAATAAGTGCTTAGAATAAGGGGAGGAAATTCTGGGCCAAAAATGAGAAGTCACCACATTCGCATTTAACTCCTGAGGTCGGAGGTGGCACAAAGCCCGCTGCAGCCCTGTGGCGCTGGTGGGGAGAGGCACGGCGGACGCTGGCTCCCCGCGCAAGCCCTGGCTGCTGCGCAGTCCCAGGGTCGAGACGCCACAGAACACAGGACGTGGGAAGCATGGAGACGGTGCCACCTCACAGCAAGGTGACCCAGCCCAGGAGCACCTGACACGGAGTGATGACTCCATTCTGAGCACCTGCCCCTCTGAGCAGCCCACCCCCATCTGAGACCTCCCTGCTGTCACCGCTCCAGGACGGCTGCCCGAGGCCCTCGAAGGGAAGCAAAGCCAGGTGCCTGGGGTCAGAAAGCAGAGGTGGGATCAAAGGCTGAGTGTCATCTACTGCAGGCGATGTGGACTCTGCCTAAACGTGGAAATTCAAGAGCAGCTGAAAGCAAACAGCAGCACGTGGGCCGCACCTCCCCCCTCGGCCGCCCCTCCCTGCAACGCCCCCGGGTCATCTGGGTCAGTTCCGGAGTCCAGTGGATTTTCTCAGCCTTTTGCTTCTGTTTCTTGGATTTAGACCAATCTCGCCATTCATTGGCACCTCCTCTAAAGATCAAGGTCCCAGAAGGGGGGGGCGCCCAGGGAGGGGTGTGCGGGAGCACGCTCAGCTAGGCTGCCTGTGCAGACGGGGGTCTCCCGTCACAGCAGGGCGCTGACGAGCTCACGAGCGGGCAGAGGCAAGGCCCTTGTGAATCCCTCTGCCACCTCAGGTGTACTGGCTGGAAAGCAGCATGGCCAGACCTGTGTTTTAGACAAATGCCTCTGAGCAAGACAGACGAGGACAGGGACGCTCGGGATGTGTCCGGCAGCGACAGCATCCTCGGGTCAGACTGAATGCACACCCGCTCCAGGCCCCGCCCACATTTTCCCAGAACTCCACCACTCCCCACCAGGAGGTGGCGCCTGTGTCCTGACTGTGGTGGGCCTGTGGCCACCGCAGAAGTGGAGCTGGACTGGCCCCAGGAGCAGAGCTCTTAGACAGTGAAGCCTGGTCCTCCCTCTGACACACCCCTCAAAACCTGGGCCATGTGAGGGTGCCAGGCCACGTGAAGAGGCCCTGTGTGGATGTTCCAGCAGAGAGCCCACTGAGGTCCCAGCCGACGGCCACACCAGCCCCAGACAGGTGAGGGAGGGCAGAGTGGGCAGGTCCTGAGAACCCAACTCCTACTCATGCAACATGTGGCAGCCTCGCGGCTGGAGAGCTAAGGGTCCCAAGTCCTCACTGGCTGTAAGGTGAAGGCCGCCCACCTTGAGGACCACGCCTCGTCCACCTCCAAAGCCAGCAAGAGTCCTGTTGATCAGTGTCTGACTAGCTAGGGGCCCTGTGACGATGCTGGGCCACTCGACAACCCAGGACAACCCCACTCAAGGCCCCAACCTCAATCACAACGGCAAAGTCCTGCTGCCACATGACATGACACATCACAGGGTCTCAGGTGTGGACATGTGGGGACCGTTCACCTGCTCACCACAGAGAAGGTCACTTGTCAAAGTTCAGACTTCGGCTCTTTCTCTGGGGACTGAGACTCACTATTTTAACTCAAGCCTCATTAACAGGATAGAAATACTCCTATAGGAACATTCACAGAAGACACTGGAACTCAAGAGACAGTGAGCAGGCTGCCATCACCCCACTCACCCCAGCGAGGACGCTCCTGAGAGAGCCAGTGAGGGACGCCGCCTTCACCTCACCTGCGCCAACCTGACACCTGCAGGCAGGACGCGAAGGAAGGGAACACGAGCTACTTCGAGCGGGTCACACAAACACCCATCCACACCTGCAGAGCCCAGTCTCAGAGCCCAAGGCACAAGGACACAAGCACCCCCACCCAAGGGTGCCCCCCGGCCTCTCCTGCTTCCCGGGTGAGGGGCATCGCTGGGAAGCCCCACGGCCCTTCCCCGTCGGCCGGGAGCTCCCGTGCCAAAGTGAGGGTGAAGTTCGAAGGCGCCCAGACCACAGGGGCAGGGGGCAGAAGCCTCGGGTGCAGAGAGCACTTGCTCCAGAGGCATGGAGAGCCCAGCGCCCCACCTGGTCGGGCCTGTTCCCAGAGCCCCCAGCAGCAACGGTCGGCACAGGCTTGATGTGACTTCCTGAACAAGACGGGGGACCTGGGCCAGACCCGCAGAGAACAGCATCGGCAGGGAGAAAGAGCCAAGCATGCCAGGAGCAGGGTGGCCACCTTCACCACGTAAGTGACACACATGGGTCCAGGCTGCACCTCAGAGCCGGAGGCTGACCCACTTCCCACAAAGACTGAAGTTAGCACAATCCTTGTCACTCAAAAAACAGGCCGCATGGGAAAGGAGCCGCCCGCAGGGGAGGAAGGTCACCGTCAGGAATAAACGTGGGCCAGACCTCAGGTCGCAGACCCCACACCAACGGTCCACCGGAACCGCTTCTCCAAGCAATCCCTGAGATCCTGCACACGCGCAGACGAAAGCGGAGTGAGGACGGTTCGATTCGGCGCTGAGGACAGAGCCGGAGGCCAGGTACGACCGTCCGCGGCCTGGAGCCCGCCAGCCTGGCCGTGCGACGCGGCCGCTGGTTCGGAAGCGGCTTTTCCAAAGAAGACAGCGACAACAGGAAGACGCACTTGCTATTTCCTCCGCCACCAGAGGTAAAGGAGCACCGTGGGCTGGGCATGTCCTCCGTGCGGCCGCCCAGGTGGGGACCCAGCGGGACCCCCAAAAGCACCCCCAGGCACGTGAGAAGGCAGAGTGCACTCGGCGCGGGGATGGGCCACGGACAAGCCGCTCACCAAGTCCGAGGTAACACCCCCCCCGACGCCCCGAAACGTGCTTCTCTGACCTGGTCAAGCCAGACAGGGACCAAAGGACACGGCCTGTGCAGCGAGACCCCGGGGGCGCCGCGCTCCAAGTCCAGTTGAGAACTCGCCCAAGTTCCAGCTCGGGTCGTTTCCTGCTAGAAGATGCTGATCACCGCCACCGTGCCCGCCTGGGGCCAGCGGCCACAGACCCCGGCGGCCTCCAGGGAAAGCGGCTCGGAATGTGTGTGGCCCGAGCACCCTCACTCCGCCCGCGACACAGGCGGGTTTGCAGGCGCATCGAGCGGCCTCGCCCCAGCGTCGCGATAACCAACCTGCAAAGAAATGGCGCCTGGCGCTCAGCTCGCTGGCTGCACGGACCTCGGTGCACAGCTTCAGCATCAGCAGCATGGCGCCCGTCATGACGATGCTCTGCCAGAGCAGCGGGGCCTCGAAGCGCCTTCCAAACCTGGGGGCAAGGACACCGCGGTCAGGGCACGCCGGCTGCCCAGGCCTCGCGTGGGGCAGGGGACCCCTCAGAACCACGTGGGCTTCCCGGGAAGCCAGGCTGGGCAGTGATGCCCGGGCCTCCGGCCAGAGCCCCAGATGCGGAGGGCCGTGCTGCCGGTGCCCACTCGCCGCAGCCCCCAGAGGGCCCGGGGCCCACCGCCTCCAGCCTCGCCCCTTCTGCAAAGCACAGCTACGACCCCGAAGGCTGTGGGGACAGTTCTAGTGATTCCTAAGAACTGGTCCCCATGGCTACCTGGTTGATCACGGAGGTCAACTCACATGAGTGAAGGTCAAATGAGGGACAGCGAAGGTTCTGCCAGGCCGGGGGCTGGAGGTGCCTCCCGAGCAGCCAGCCTCACACTAGGCACCCCACCCCCAGGCTCATTCCCAGTTACGAGGCTGAATTCGTGCTATTTGGGCCATTATGCGAAAAATACAGTTGTTTTTTTTTAAATTTTCAACAAACAATGACTAGAAAAACTAGGGTAAAAATATCAAGGTTTGTGCTTCCTTATGTCACTCAACAAAAATCAAATCTAGATGAACTCAATGTTTACGGTAAAAATGGGTCATTAAACTGAAGTGACAAGGAGCAGAGATAAACTTTTAACTGATTTTAGGATAAAGGCAGGCTAAGCGGGACGCAAATTTTCAAAAAGCACAACTTTCCATAAATGATATACAGGGGATAAAAAAAATATGAAACAAAGTTCAACATCATTAGTCATTTCAAGAAACTAACTAAAATAGGAAGATAGAATTTTTACTTATCAAATTGGTTAAACTTTTTCTTCCTTCAGGGCTAACAGTCTGTGGCTGGCAGGGTGTCACAAGAGTGCTTCCTCGTCCTTCGCCCGAGAATGGGGGTTGGCACAGTCCCCCTATTACCGACAACAGGACAGGCCACAGACAGGTGCGGGGTCTGCTGCTCAGAGAAGCTAGCTAAAGCGGCTTCTCCCTTGGTGGCAGCACATCTGTCTCGCCCCCAGGGAGATACACACTGCAGGGGATGTGCAACGTTTCAGCAAGTCCGAGCAGAAAGCTGCCACGGGGGCCACCTTCTCTGCCTCTTCCAAGTAACAGAAAAATGCTCAAGTGGAAGAAAAGTTTTGTGTCTACTTATCTGTGCCACTGACGGCTATGGCCCTTTGTAGCAGAATGTCACCAATCTCTGATACAGTGTCACCACCTCTCTGATACAATGTCGCCACCTCTCTGACAGTGTTACCACCTCTCTGATACAGTGTTCCCAGTGTGGCTGCATGGTCTCTGAGACAGCGCTTTCAGCCAGCAGGGATGGGGCTTGACAGCAAGCTCTGTGAATGCAGGAGGCTCTGGGTCGGATGGCGCTGCCGCGCCGTCTGCACACCCTGGCCCCCTCCTTCCCCTGTCTACAAAATCACAAGCCTGCAAACATTAGTCATGAGGGGTCACTTAGCCCTTCTCCTGACTTCTGACATCACAAAGACCAAACCCTGTTCCTCAGCATTTTATGGAGTATGATCTGCTGAACACTGGTGAGGACTGAAAGAAATGAGGGAAAAGG